TATTTAATATATTTAATAATATTATTTATTTAATATATTATTATTTAATATATTATTACATATTTTCAAAAATTAAACCACTAAACGCAGTTTCAGTTTTTTTTTAAAACTGAAATCAATCTCTAAATAAAACTACCAAACGCATTTTTAAAAATAATTCAAAAATGAAACTAAAAACATTTTCATTTTCATTTTCGTACAGAAAATAAAAACGTTTTAGAACCAATTCCAAACGCACCCATAGTATTATGTTTTTTTTAAAGTTAAACAAGTATTTCTAAATATCAAAAGTAATTATATATATTTAAATTTCATACCATGTCTATTTTGGTCATTTTACATACCCACAGCAATTCAACCTCAAAATTGACCAAACGCTATTACACTGATTTTAGAACCAGCATAGCTATTATAATTATAATTTACCAAATACTCAGCTGCTTCTTCTAATAGCTGCTTCTTCCTTCAGCATAGCTAAAAGTAATTTTTCTAAAATCCACAGCATTACCAAACTAAGCCATTAACTAAGTAATTTAAACTTATTAGTTAATCCAAGATGTAAGGAAAGGATTAGGGAAATGATGATTAAGGAGGTTAAACCTCAAAGAAGGATTAAGAGACCAAGTTTCCAAGACCTAAACATAATAAATCATAAATCCTCGATGATGAATTGATTGTCGATTGTCGGTATTAAATTGAATACAGAATCACTATGTCACGAGAAAAGGGTTGCTGTGGGGAATCGCTAAGTGCAGATGCCTAGGTAAGTACAAACCTCACCTACAGCATGAATTGTTTTAAAATGTCATGTTTGAGAAATTGCTTGCCTAATTGTGTTGCATAGATTCTCTGTGATATGATGCAATGTATACCCTTACAGTATTTTTACAAATATACCTCTGTGACATAAATGATGATGAACAATGAAAATAATGTAAAGTAAGTCTTACAAGGTAAATTATAAATGGTTATATCTTGTGACATGCATGATAAACACAATGAATATGTATTCAAAGGAAATGTTTGTAATGTTGTTTGCTTTATATACATCTTTTCTCTATGATATGATGCAATGTATGCCCTTTACAATATTTTAATAATATACTTTGCGGCACAAATGAAGATGAACATGATGGATATGTTATATTGCCTCTTTTAATGTATATGTTATTAATTATTTTGTGACATGATCATAATTGCATGCTCACATATAATAAGAGACTCATGTAATGGAAATGATAAATAAAGTGATAATCAATTCTCTATTGCTTTGACTTTAAGATAAAGGAATTAGCTCTCCTAGGATTCTATCAATAGGAGATAATAGAACACAATTTTTCTCCCTTCCCCTATGAGATAGGCGTGTAATATAGCTGTTTTGGGCATGTAATATTCTGTTTGACAGTGTATAACATTCTAGTGACAGCTATGTAACCAGAGAGAAAAAGAGAAGAAAAGTTCTTCCATTTCCGGTTCCACCTCATACATGTGTTGATATTGGTGGAAGAAAAAATTAGTGGGTGATCAATTCTATAATTTTAAATTAGAGCCCACACTCTAGGTCTTGCAGATATCAAGGACTAAACGAGGAAGATTCAGGTTTTTTTAGAAAGCTTGGAGCGAGGATTGTTCGTGGTCAAAGAAGAACTCAAGTTATCGACATAATCGTTCGTTAGGTAAATAAATTAATTAGATTAATTTATTTATGTACAGATTAATATATCCTATAGAGCGTTTCAAAAGTTTTATGAACATTTTTATTATACACGATCTGCTAGACAAACGCTTCCGCATCTGAAATTGTTTTAGAAACCAACACGTTTTTCCTTTGGCTTTCTTGTGGTTTGATAGAGATCAAGATACCGAGTAGGAGATTGAACGACGTGTACCTACTCGCACTCCAGTCGTGGAAAAGAAAATAGTGGAGAAGACCAGTTGGTTGATGCTATTAAATGTTCGGGATTCAAATGTTCGTCTCCTAAAGCTCTGATTTAGCTCTTTTGTATATATGATATATAGCATTATGAACATGATTCGACTTTGTTTTTGTTTAATTAAAAATGTTTAAAATTCTGCTGCGTAACTTTTGCCATATTTTTCCAACATTAAGGAATTAACGAAGAAATCTCGGTGATCTGAGGAACCGGAGCACTAGGATTGTTTGTGGTCAAAGAAATTAAGATATCATCATAGTTGATCGCTAGGTATAATTCCTGTTCTAAATTTATTAGATTAATTTATTCGTTATAAATTAATATATTTTATAGCGTTCTTAAAAGTTTTATGAAAATTTTTATTCAGACTCGATCCGAATTTCTACACTTCTGCACTTGAAATCGTTCCGGAAAACAACAACAACAACCACCTTGATCTTTCTCCTACTAACAATCCTTCCTTCAACATATCGACACCTTATTAAACCTCTGCTTATTATTTCTAAATCCTTCCATACCTTCCATAATTTCTCAATTTTGGTCTAAAATGTTAAATCCATACAGTCAACTCTATATCCGAAGTTTTTACATTTTAATCTCTCACAATTTGTAGTCGATCCTTATAACATTAGATTGTATTTTCCAAATGCAGGGACAATCTTAAAATTTTATTTTATCTTCTTAGAATTACTTTTCTTGAATAAGTAGTCTGTTGTTAGTTTTAAAACCTGAACTATTAAACTAGCAAGTAAAGCTTCTCTTTTCTTCCCTTTTTTCCCTTATTGAACTCACATAGAACATACCTAAAATCATTTTTCTCAGTTCTCATTATTCAAAAATCCATCAATGGTACATAAAGAGTTTAAGGCCGTGTTTGGAATTAATCTCATTTTTGTTTTTCACGTTTTTTGAGAAAGAAAAAATAAAAACGTTTTCAAAATGACGTTTGGCGTAATAAAGATAAAAAACAAAAATGAAAATGATTTTTTGGTTTAGTACAAAATAAGAGAGAAATGAAAAATGACTTTTAGTTATTTTTCATTTTTTATTTTTGTTCTCTTCTCTCTCGAGCAAAGAGAGAGAGAGAGAGAGAGAGAGACATTAATGAATTTTTTATAATGAAACAATCTCTTGATAAAATTACAAACGCATTTTCAAAAATGATTTATGTCTGAAATTGAAAACGTTTTCATTTCTATTTTCATACAAAAAATAAAATCATTTTAAAACGAATTCCAAACATGCCCTAAATCTTTTTTACTAGAAACATTTAAAATTTTTTTATTAACAATTCTAAACCTTAAATTGTGACATCTCAGTAATATGCTCAAGGACTAAATATTCTCCAATTGAGTTCTAACCATACCTAATTCAAGCTAATGGTAATCAGGTGTAATTAAAATTCCTCTTCTTTTTTCTTTTTTTAAATTAGCAGCTTAACCTGTACTAACGTGACTCAATATTTTATTTCATCCTATATTGCATTCTCTATACACTTAAAATCAATCCTTCCCATTGAACTTATTTAATTCACCCTTTCTTTTCTTCATGATTTTATAATCTCAATTCTTTAATCTATTATCCGACTAAATTCTAACATCTGTTTTGAGCCACCTATGGGATTTGTAGGCCCCGTTCATTTCACTGATTCGAGTGTAAAATTTGAGTTTTGCTACAGTAAAAAGCTTTCAGAAACAATCACATCTAATTTTTTTTTACAGTAAAAAGCTATCACATAAAATTATATCTCAACTCGAATTAAAAACTTGAATCAATGAACTAAACGGGCCCGTAGATCCCGTCAGTATTTTTCTTATAATTATATTATTTCATGGGCTTAGAATAATTACTTAGGAAATACAAAATATTGTATGTGGGCATATAGGACATCGTAAATTCTTAAACTTACAACAGTCTGTATGACTTAAAATTCTTATCATCATGTTTATATCATGACTTTGATAATTGATCATCATTGATCTAGACTTTACTTATTGGTAGACATTATACGATGAAATCAATTATTTTTACATGATTCTCATTTCAGATCTTCCAACTGAGATATTCTTAAAAGTCATTTTCTAACCTACACTGAAATTATTAAAGTAATTACCTCAATTTTAAGACATTGAATAATTAATTTAATTAATCGCATGTGCTATTAAAATTCAGAGTATTATGTCATTCTACTCAAGAAACAGGTCATTGTACAAATATAAATCTAGTTAGTACTCATAATAAAAAGCCTTTCAATTCAACGAGTTTTTAAACTAGTCTTCAATGAGGAAAATTCATTACCGTAAATCGTGAGATTTAGACTTTTGAATTTTTTGGACCTTACATATACTTGATAAATATAGGATTTATGAAGTTAGACATAAATTATAATGGCAACTTCTAGATATACACAACGAATCTAAGATTTATCAAGTTAGACTCACTTAAAAAAGAACAGTACAAATTCTAATGGTAAATTCTCGATATACTGAGTAAATTCTGGATTACCAAATTCGCTTCACTTTTTTAAGAACCATACAAATTCTAATAGTAAATTATAAATATACCCAGTAAATCTAGGTAAATTCAGGATTTACCAAGATTTATTAAGTTAGAATCACTTAAAAAAGAACAATACAAATTTTAATGGTAAATCCAGGATTTACTACGATAGGATAACTTTTTTAAGAACCGTACACTCTATTGTTAAATCCTAAATATACATGGTAAATTCTAAATTTACCGAGTTAGGATCACTTGAGAAGAATAGTAAAACTTCTCATGTAAATCCTAGATATATATGATAAATTCAGGATTTACCAAGTTAGGATTACTTTTTCATGAACCGTACAAACTCTAATGGTAAATCCTGGATGTACACGGTAAATCTAGGTAAATTTAGGATTAGCAAGATCTAGCAAGTTAGAATCACTTGAAAAAGAATATTACAAATTCTAATTATAAATTCTAGATATATAGTCAATTTTATCACGTTAGGATCACTTTTTCAAGAACTGTACAAACTCTAGTGGTAAATCCTAAATTTACCTTATGTAAATTTAAGATTTACTAAGTTAGAATCACTTGAAAAAGAACAATACAAATTCTAATGGTAAATCTTAGATATAGTTGATAAATTTAGGATATATCAAGTTAACATCATTTTTTCAAGAACCGTACCAACTCAAATGACAAATCTTGGAATGCACAGTAAATCCAAGTAAATTGATTTATCAAAAGGATATTTTTAAAACTTTAGCTGGTTGTAAATTCAGATTTATATTCTATTGGCGTATTTATTTACTTATCTTAAATATTGGCTATTTATTTAATTTCTTCTCTAATTTTGACCCCTCTCTCAATCTCCCCACATAATATATAATATTCATTTTGACACATCTATTTGTTCAACAAAAAACAATATTTAAATATATCTCATTAAAATAATTTTTCTCTAATATGTACTATTAAAATAACTTCTCTAATAAAATAAATTTTTTATTGTTAAACAAATTAAACAGTAATTAACTCATAATAAAAATTCTAACTCGCTATTAGATTTTCCATAATACTTACGCACGTGCTTCGTATCCAACAAGTAATTAAAAAAATGTCAGTACATTAAATAAGAAATGGGGTCACTTTTACATGCATCATATAAAGCCACTTAATTATTGGAGTATGAATTTAAATTTAAATTTTTTTATTTTTAATAAATATTATTTAATTAAAAAATTAGAAATTAAAAATAAAAAATAAAAATAATGATTCATATATTTTTAAAAGGTATTTATTAAGAGTATGTAGGTTTAAAAGCAACGGGGAGAGAGAGAGAGAGAGTAATAAAGGGGTTGTTTTTTTACAACAAAACTCAGAAAAAGTTTAAACTCAAGTTACAACTTTATTTAAGTTCACGTTCTTTTAAGTTTCAATTTTATTTAACTTTACTCAACTTTATTCAAATTACAACTTTAACTTAAGTTATAACTCAAATTTAACTTAAAAATTACATTAAGTTACACTCCAAAAGAATAATCCTAAAGACTACTGAGTGTGAAGTTCCTATCTTTGGTTCGAGCTACGTGGTGTGACACGTGACCCCAGCTAGGAAAGACATGAACAGAAGATACTCAACTTCGCACATCTGACTTTGGTTTCTCTAGATTGACGGTATTATTGAAAAGTTTAAACGTCCGTTTAATTTGTTAATTTTGTTTAATTTATGGATTAAAATTATAAAATTAAAATTATTTTTAATTTATATGTGTTTTTTATAAGAGAAAATATTATAGTAAATTATGAATCATAATTCGAATTAGAGAATGAATCTTCCAACTAAATAGACTCTAAATTTTTAATTTGAGTTGACATATAATTTTATGTAAATTTTTTTTTATAATCAAAAAATAAAATATAATTATTTTTAAAATCTTTTTACTATAATAAAATTTAAAATTTAAATTTAAATTAATAAAATAAACCAGTTCAAACTAATCAATTAATAGAAAAAGCAAAAACAAAAGGGAGTACAATAAATGACTCAGCAAGGGTAGATCAAACTCATTGGCGTTCTGTGAAGAGGGAAAAAAAAAAAAGAAAAAAAAGAAAAAAAGACTGTCCTTTCCCTCCTCTCAAGTCACCCATGTATATATAAGATCTCACATATATACATGACAGTACTGTTTGAAAGGTCCATAGAAAAGCACAGGCAGAGCAGAGAAAACTAAGAAACTGAAAAGTGTTTTTGTCTGAGGAAAAAAAGGGGGTGATCAAAACATATATTAAACCATGGGAAGGCCCCCTTGCTGTGACAAAGTTGGCATCAAGAAAGGTCCATGGACCCCTGAAGAAGACATCATCCTTGTTTCTTACATCCAAGAACATGGTCCTGGAAATTGGAGATCAGTTCCCACCAACACTGGTACAATTTACTTCTGTATGCAAAAAAAAAAAAAAAGGGCTTTAATTTTAATGTCAGATCCCAAATTTCTAGTTTTTATGCATGAAATTATTACATCTTGCTTTTTTGCGTATTTGGAATTAAATTCCACATGTGTTGACTTGATTTCTCTGTATTTAGTTTTGGTTGAGTCTAATGATTTGATAATTTTCTTAATCATGTGAAATAATTGTCATCAACCATAAAAAAAAAAGGGTTGTTGAGATGCAGCAAGAGTTGCAGGCTCAGATGGACAAACTACCTGAGGCCAGGAATCAAGAGAGGAAACTTCACACCTCACGAAGAAGGAATGATAATTCATTTGCAAGCTTTATTGGGTAACAAGTAAATCTTCTTCAAACATCTCATGATTTTTTTTTTTTTTTTTGGTTCTCTCTCTCTTTTCTTACAATGAAGTTGGAAAAAAAATTCCCCTTACAAAATAATTTATAACAAAAAGCTTTAGCTAGACAAATTTCTCCTATCATTTACAATTTTCTATTTATATGAAATTTTATTATTGTTTGTTTTTTTTATCTAAATTACAGATGGGCAGCCATAGCTTCCTACCTCCCACAAAGAACAGATAATGATATAAAGAATTATTGGAACACACATCTGAAGAAGAAGCTCAAGAAATTCCAATCAGTTTTCGATCCTCACAACAATAATATCCCATCTGACTCAACCACTGGCCAGTTGGTATCAAACAGGAGTTCTGGTACTACTTTCAGTGATAGAAGAAGCTTAGCTGATTATGTCACCAGCCATGGCTCTTCTGATAATCATCTCAGCCTACAGAATTCCTCCTCTTCTTCTCCTCCATCTACATATGCCTCCAGCACTGAAAACATCTCGCGCCTCTTAGAAGGTTGGATGAGATCTTCTCCAAAACCTAATAAAAGTATTAGTACTACTAGCATTAGTGACCACAATATCACAATAAAAGTGTTTGAGAATGATGGCAACGGCACTCTTCCAAGCGGCGGTGGCAGCGGGATGAAAGTTGAGGAGGCAGCAGAGGGGGGCGATCTCGTCTCTCACGACGAGTTTGAGTCGATCATGTCGTTCGATCCGAACACGAACAATGTTGTTTCGTCGTGCGACAGGTCAACTTGCGAATCTACTTCTTATAAGGTTTCTGCTGTGGATAATGAAGACATGATCAAGGTTCATGTTGTGATGGAGAAGAATAGTATTAAGCAAAGATCTGAGAGCGGCGCTAGTAATCCTCCATTGTCGTTTCTTGAGAAATGGCTCTTGGATGAGAGTACTATTGGTGCTACGGCTGGTCAAGTAGAGGAGATGATGGAATTGTCTCCAATGTTTTAACATTTGATTAGTTATATATATATATATATATATATATATATATATCGTCATCTTATTTTTCCCTTACCTAGTTTGAGCTATACGTTTCAAGAGGGTAACATGAGTTTCTTTTTAGAAAACCAGAGGTAAAATATTATGGGACAAGGAAGTCGTGTTTGTTCGCTTTTTTTTTTTTTTAAGGGTTTTAATAATCTTTTCTCGGTTTTGTTGGGGATTTCGAGAAGTGTTGAGATCTCTTTAATGCTGATAATTGTAACCATCCTATGAATGGATTATTTCATCTAATCAAGCTTACTGTTAGTTAATCTTTAGTTATTGTCGAGGAATTCATGAGTTTATTAGTTTTTGGTTCTTTTGTTGTTGGCTAACGGAGTTCATCAATTTATTAAAATTAAGAGTTTTTATAAAGGGATTAAAATAAGATTTTAGTACGTAAATCTTACTATAAATTTACTCCAACGATGAGAGAATAATTTACAGATGAGGAGTCGATAATATTAGTAGAGCAAGAAAACATCATATCATCTAGAGAAAATTAACATGTTGTGTGATTCTGAACATTGAGGAAAAAAAAAAAAAGAAAAAAAAAAGATGTATCTTAGCTCAAGTATAGAAGCAAAACCTAGCGTATATGACAATTTTGAGAGAATTAAATAACCTAATTTGATATCTTCAAGTTACATAGTAACTATTCACGCAACCTACGGCGAGAATTCAATATGTAGCCCCACACACACATATATAGACATGTATATTTATGGATACGTGTGTTATAATCAAGATAATCGGTTTGGTTTTTTTCTTTAAGTTAGTCTAGAAATAACTTTTGCCGATTTCTTGAAGAAATTACAATGAGATTTTAATGGAGAAGGGGAAGGATATGGGATGGGAAATAATATTAGCCATACAAGTGAAAAATGGGATAGCGTCACGAAAGTCTTGCATCCAAATAAGGCTAAAGGGTTTTCTTTGCCTCTGCAAAAGGGCCTTTTCGATCTTTCTTTTTTATTTTTATTTTTTTATTCTTTATTTTATTTTATTTTTTGGAAGAATTATGAGATGAAAACATGTGATCTTATTCAACTTTCGGCGACATCTCATGGCTTATAATGGTTATCACATACCATGCATTAAAAAAAAAAAAAGAAAAAAAAAAAGAGGCACACACGTATAGACCAAATTTCACAAGACACAACAAAATTTTGGGGTTTTGACTTTGCTTACTTCCTTTGCCCTTTTTAAAAGGATACTCCACCAATTACATTATGGCGTGCTCTGATCCAGGAGTTTTGTTTTGTTTTTCTACCAAAATTTCGAAACATCATAGTATTTGATTTATAAAGAATTGAACCAAAGTTTTGAGATTAATTAGACCAAAACCATATATAGTAACTGCTTCAACAAGAATTGAGAAGCATTAAATAGAAAATGAGATCAGTGCTACATCTTATGTGTAACTATGAATAAAAAGGAAGACTTTGAATTTTAATAAATGGAATATTTAATAGTCTCCTGGAAAAAGGAGTGATAATAATAGCAATAAAGATTTGCCAAAATTAAAAATAAAATAAAATGGGACGTAACATTAATTAGTTTCATGGAGTAATTAAAATGGCAAAAAAGCGGGTCTTGGCTTTTTCAGCAAAATGAATGCAGCTTCTCCATTACAATCTGTAATTCGTGGTGGACAACCGAACATGAGGTGCGTCATTTATGAACTCATCCCACATCCAACGCGACAGACGGGAGGGAAAAAAAAAAAAAGAAAAAAAGAAAGAAAGAAAAAGCAAAAAGAGAGAGAAGGCTATTTATGACCACTTAAGCAATTATTTTCCATGCCTTTAATTCCTAAGTTACCTTTTTTTTTTTTCTCTTTTTCTTTGACCTTTTTTTTTCTTCTCTTTTTTTTTTTTCCTGAGATAACTTAATTTTATAAAGTTGTACGTATACATGAACAATTTTTAATAGTTACGTTTTTATCGATGATGAATTATTATGTTTAGAAATTTAATAACCCAGCGTGATAAGAAACCAATTTTATTAATAGTTAAATTTTTTTTAATCAACTATCAAATTTATTACAACCATCAGATTAATATATTTCGGTTAAAATAATGATAATGGGTAAGTAATGAAGCAGCCATTAAAACTCCACACATATATATTCATACATACATGTGTAGAAGGTTACATTTTATAATTAATTTATACGAGATCAATGACCAAATTTAGACGATTCACAAAGTTATTGTCGGATCACAATAAATAAATATAGAAAAAATAAATAGAGACTGACTCACTAGAAATTTTATAGAGGTTCTCTCGTTAATGAGAGCTATATCCTTTGTAGGGTCTTCGGCAATGATACTAAGAGCAAGAAGATCAAGAGAGAATGTAACGCCCCTCCCAAACTAGTAGCTCAAGAACCGCTAAACTCGGGAGAAACGTTAACTTATGAAACTAATAGTTCATAATAAAAAGATAATATCTATTAGAAATATAATCCTCGAACATAATTCTTAATATACAGATTTCGTTTCCTAAGATCTCCTAACTCGTTATTAGACTTTGGATCATTCTTTCTCAATTAACAGGAACTTCAATTATTGAACTTACCTGCATCACAAGAACTACATAAGCAATAGCTCAGTAAGTAAACCATAAATTTATTAATTTCCACTTTTAAAATACTTTTCTTTAACTTTTAGGGCCCTTTGTATAACATTAGTGTTGTGTTATTAGAACCTCTTTCACGTGACTCCTATTTTAAAATCTCTTACTTCTTAAAAATTCAGTCATTCTCATTCTCAGTTCATAATAAACACAAGATTTCACATCATACTCTGAAAAGACTTCAAAATCTCATAAAAACAATTCAACCATAATATATAAACTGAAATCATTCTTAAAACATACTGTTTAAATATTACAGTGAAAGGTATACTTACAAACTAACTGGTCAAGAGAGAAATACTTTTCTCTCCATTTTCTCTTTCTTTCTCTGTGTCTTACATTTTTTTTTCCCTTTCCATTGTTGTAGAACCTTTTATCAAACATCAACTTATGTCTCTTATATATATAATCTTGGTGAGGTCTTATGATGGGCAACAAAGCAGATGACTAACCTAGGCTAGTTTAACTAGATGTTCAAGTGCCATTTTTTTAATAGAACTTGCTGCAAGATAATAGCTTAGCATAATAATGTACGTGGCGTAGCAATAACACACAACTTAAACCTTAGTTAAGACAAATGTTAAGTAGCTTACTAATCATGCCTATAAAGCGTGACCTGTCAAGTTTGTATTCTCCTAATAACTCTTTCTTCATATATCATAGACATACGTGGTAGTTACATCAATTCTAATCTAAATTCATATTCCACCTCAAACTTTAATATAAAAATAGATTTATAATAAAATCCTAATATTCTATTTTACTGCCACCTTTCTTAATTAAGCAAACACCTCAAATATTCTGGATAAAGAAGAGGGAAATTGAAAAAAAAAAAGAGGGAGAGAAAATCTAGGAAAACTGAAGAAAACTGGTCTTTACCTCTGTAAAATGTATTTTGGATATCTTGGAAAACGTATAGAATGGTATTTGGAGGCTAGGGCTTTTCCCATTGGGCGTGAATTAATCCTGTTATAGTCTTAGCGGATCTTCTTGTTGGAGAATGATTTGCAATTTGAAATTTGAACTGTTGTTCTATCTATTGGTTTTCGAATCAATTTCAAATGCGGAAGCGTGTGTTTAGCGAATTATGTATACAAAAATTCTCATAAAATTTTGAGATACTTTATAGATTATATTAATTTATTTACGAATAAATTAATCAAATTAATTTATTTACCTAGTGACTGATTATGACGATTTCTTAAATTCTTTGACCTCGAACATTCCTCGCTACAAGTTAGTTTAGAACACCCGAATCTTTCTCGTCAATTCCTTGAATCTACAAAGACGTGTGTGTGGGCACACTTGAAACAAAACATGATTAGCAAATAAATACTCAAGGTTTCCACGAACACTAACACATGCACGAAGTTGAATTTTTAGAGAAAATTTTTCCTTCCCACACTCTAGAAACCGGCCACTAATCCGAGGAGAGAGCAAAAATTGTGTCTCATAATTTTCTACAATCTCCTATTTATAAAATAGTAGTCAGACTCCCACAAAAAAGTCTAATATTTATTTCAAATTTCATAATTCTAAAATTTCCATTTTGCCCTTAGTATCTTGTAGAATTACAAGGATGACGCGGGAACTCATGGACCTATAATTCTGAGCTCCAATAAAATTAATAATTAATTAAACTCTTTAATTAATTAATTTTATTAATTCTAAGAGTTACTCCACTATAAACTTTGAATTGCACTATCATAATTATAGACATAAATTACTTCTAAACTATGATGCGTCCATTTAATATTGTAATGGCCGAGAAATTTTTGGTCCAATCCGGACAGTCCGGCATTGATCGCAATTCTTTCCGGAATTGTAAGTAGTAAAATTTTGACATGATCGAGAGAATATTGTGTAGAAACTTTATGTACGAGACAAAATTTTTTGAAATGTGTAAAGTTATAATACGAATGTTTCTTCAGAGGAAATTCATAAATATTAGTTATGCATAGTGCAATATCAGTGAAAAAATAGAAATTTTAGCAGTTATATTTTAGTTCTGAAAAACTGAAAAATTTGGTATGCGACCAAATGACAGTAGTTCTTGAAATGTTAGAAGTAAAGAAAATAACAGTAGTTCCTGAAACAAGATTTTCTTGAGTCAGATAGTGTAATGACTAAGAAAATTCAAGACTTTAAATAATACAATTTATGTAATTAAGCCAAGGATTTTCCTAGAAAATACTATGTTATATTTTCTGACTGAAGGATTTATGAAATTAACATCTGTATTCCTAAATTCTGTAGCAGATTTCATGCTAAGTTCATGTTTTACGATCAAGTAAATTCGATCGATAAATTCTCACTGTACTTTAAGG